AAAGATTTAAAATCAGTTGCCCCTCAGCACTCCGAAATGTCCCAAGATGTTGGCTTCTGTGAATCTTAATGTGCCTGCACAGATCCATGGAGATGTGTCATCTACTTCATATTTTCTTTGTATCTACTTAGCAGTTACTAAGATCAATTCCTGGAAACCCAGTTGATAATTTACCATCTTTCACATGGTGTGAAGCTTCTGTTAGGGGATTTTTTTTGGTCTGGTACCTTTGTTTCGGTTTATCTTCCTCAGGCTCGACTGACTATAAATAAAAATATTCTGCTTTTAATTTCAAGATTGAGGTGATTGCTAGTCATTCAGAGAAGAAAATGGAAAGGAAGGTTTTGAGATGTTGGGGAGTAAACTACTTTATCTGGATTCTTCTAGGCGCTGATGAAGGTGAGCAGACACAAACACTAGACATATGATGAAAACAGGCTTCAACTGTACTTAAACTGTTATGCTTTGTCAAGTGCAATGGGAAAATAGCATTTATATATCAGCTTTATCTGGTTCAGCACAGCAACAGGATTCTTGACTCAGGCTGGAAGCATTGAGAGTATGGTGCAGAGACGAACTACCTCGTGTGCGCAGGGTAGGTCCAGGGCAAATGCACCCAGCAAACCACACTCTTCACTTCAGAACTTGCAAAAATGAGTGACTCTTGTTCAATGAATTGTTCCTTTCATATTTCCTCCAATAAGACCTGACTGGTGGTTACCCAGAGTGTTTAACATTCTCAGCAATTACACTGAAACGTTTTAGTGAATTTCAACTTGACGAGGCTGTTTTTCAGAGGTATGTATTATTTTCCAGGACACTTAAAAATCCAGAGAATTCATGGAATGATGAAAGCTTCACGTTAGCAAAAATAGGAAATATTATTTGTGAAAACCAGAGCTTCTAAATATGTTTTGCAGGCCAGGCTAGCAAAACAAAGGTTTAAACATAATCTCCTGGAAATGTATACTAGAAAACTCTTTTTTTTCCTATTTGTTTAATAAACTTGGAAAAATAATTTTATACATAAAGAACATGCATTGTTATCCCCAAATCCTGATGTATGTGTCTAAAGGAGACCAGAGGCCACAAAGGATCAGGACTCCACAACTCACATCTTAGTTCTGCCCTTCCTCCTGCTGTTATGACTTTAGGAAAGCTACTTAGCCTCTTGGTTTTATTGTCTATAGTTCTTCAAAGTGACAGCAAAAAGCCCTGTTTTTCCCACTTCCCAGGGTTGTGTCAATCAAATTGATTGACGTGTGTGAAAATACTATCACAATGATAAATGTGCATATCAAATAAAGTTACCATCATCAATGACTCCTTCAAGAACCACTTTCTCATGGAAATACTGGACTTTCTTCACAAAGTTGTTCCTTGACCGCGGAGCCCACTAATGCTGTCCAGTGTCAGTGCAAGAGTGTGAACAACAACTGTGTTTTCTTCTCCCTTTCTGGAACCCATTGAAATGAAACATCCCCAAAAGGGAATAAATCTGAAATATGGTGTGATCAGGAGATGGCTGGAGAGCTTCTCAGAGTCTCCTAGAAGATGTAAAATGGGTGGGAGTTTGCAGAGGCTGAAATGGAGAGAACAGCTCCAAATATCAGCTGCCGGGAAGAGGAAGCTCCGTCTCTGAGGCTGAACCTAGGGAGCTTCAGGCTCAGAGTCTGCAGGTCCTCAAGCCAGGAGCAAGTGCAGACCCGAAAGCGGGATGCATTGAATGATGCTCTAGTATACGGTGGCCCCCATTGGCCAAATGCTCCTTGGAGAGGACACCTGAGAATTGAAGCTTTCTCTTAGGATGAGAAATGAAGAATCTCATGGTTAAGGAATGGAAGGAACTGCCTGAGAAAAGTGAGGGGACTTGATGGAAGGATTGTCTCACAGAGCAGAACAGTCCTCATTTGGTGACAAGAGGCTCACTGCCACTCACCCAGCTTGAGGGGGCAGCAGCTGACCAGACCTGGGATGCCAGCCAGTCTTTTCATGTGGCCGGGCCTGCTGGGAAACTTGGTCAACCTGCACAAGGGCAGAGGAAACTTGTGCCTGGGGTCTAGGACCATTGATAGGGTATTTTATTCACAAGTACAAATATCCAGACAAAAACCATAAGCAGGATAAAAGAGCAAGACTGAAGATAAGAAAGAGCCATGAGTCCCAGAGGAGTCACACCAATCAGAGGACAGAAGAGAACTTAGACGTTTGCTGGTGAGTCTCCCCAGAGAAATGCATAAAGACATCACATCTACAAAACAAGAAGAGTAATCCTTGAAAAAGGAGGACCCTGAGATTAAGGAGAGTCTTGAATAAAAAAATAGACTGCAAGAATTAGGGGGTAC